TAAGCAGATTTTCAAACATCAGGTTTCTAGCAAGAACCTCTCCTGAAAATTGGCTGGTGGTTAACTGTTAGCTTCTGCTTTATAAACATGTAAAGTTCTTCTAATTTGTATGTCCACTTAACAAATCTCTCTTGCAGCTAATAAAAGACTAGAAACTGAGACTGAACTGTCACAGATTGCTTTGTACATGATTTTTACTTAGGGCTGAAAACTTTTGCTGTGAAAATAAATACATTTTTTGGTCAGCTCCCTCTCCCACTCTCCTGATGGTTTCTAAATCTTTACATTTCTCTTCAAAATTCCTCTCTTAATCCTCACCTCATTACTGTCAAGACATGACCTGCTTTTACTTCAGAGAAGAGTTCAATAGAATGATTGCTTCTTTCCCTGAAACCCAACAATTTATCAGCATGCAAACTTCTATTTACTTCTTTCCCCTCCTATCCCTAACAGTTCCTCAACATACGCAAAGTCACATGTGATTGTACCCTACTTTCTTATCATGGCCTGCATTTTTAAAAATCTTCACTCTTATTTTTAAAATTTCTCTTCTCTGCTACACTGTGCCTTTGATGTAAACATGCTTGGGTTTTTACCCTCAGCTCCTTTATTCTCATCTTGTATCCTCTTAATCTTCTCAACCAAGATGTTAAAAGTACCCCACACTTTATTTCCCACCCACACTCAAGAAACCCCAAGTTGCCTTCCACATCCACCATTCCATTGCCAGTGCATTCTACAGTCAGCAGTCACCAAATGACTGCCTAACCCAGCGGGCACTTTGCCATCCTTACTTTCCTTGCTCTCTCCAGCATTTTACACTGCAGATTCAGCATACCTCTCCTGCTGCCCACCCCCCACCTTCCCTGGCTATACCTATTCAATGCCCTTCCCACCTCTCAAGTGTGAAACTCACCAGAAGTACTGACCCCAGTCTTTGTCCTTCTCTTTTTACACACTTTCTCTAGGCAATCTCACCTATACTCTAGTTTTCCCTAGACTCTAATGACTCCAAAGTCCTCATGCCCTGCCTTAATTATTGCAATAACTGGCCTCCAGGCTCTCTGCTTTTACTGAAACCCATTTTCTATACTACAGGCAATAACCTCTTAAAGCAAAGGTCACATGACATTCCTCTGCCCAGAATCCTCATTTGGCCCTACCCCGAGGGATAAAATTCAAACTCCTTAACGTAACGCACCCCACTCTTCGTCCTTTGATCCCACTTACCTCTGCAGCCTTGTCTACTGACGCTTACCACTGCCACCCCATCCTGTTGCCAAATACCTCGTCCTCTCACGGCTTCCTGGACTTCTCCTGCTTTGCTCTCTCACTGTCCTCCCTTTTCCCCCAGCTAAGTCCCAAATGCCTTTCAGGACTTCCAAGAGTCACATTATCTTCATTCATTTCGACACAACAAATATTTACTGAGAGCCCTGTATACCTCAGGTACTGTTCTGCATTCTGAAGAGTTAGCTGAGATGAAATCCCTGTTCTCACACTGATTTCACTTAGGGGTCGGAGGCAGGGCAGGATATGCAGAACAGAAAGCAGGGCAAAGGGGACAGAGAACTTGTGTGTGACAGTGCAGTGCTGTTTCATAGCAGGACAGTTGGAAGGCCTTGCTCCCTCTCTGAGTGGGCTGTTGACTGAGTGAGGAGCTTTCTATCTGCACTCTTTCAGGGTAAGAGGGTGTTGGTTTGCTTGCTTAGCTCCTCTGCTAGTCTGTGACTTCCTGAGGGAAGAAACTGCTCATCTATGCATTCCCAAGGTTCAACACTCTATCATTCTAAGGAAATGGGTTGTGCCAGGCACTGTTCTGGGCAAAGGGAAAAAGCCACATAAGTGCTCAAAAAATTTTTTTTGAAATAGATTAATACATATTTGGAATTATAAATTAGTAGGAAATCTTCAAAATAAAAAACTTCACTTTAAACTCAATACTTTAATTTCATATCAAATATGAAAATTGGGACAAAGAGTCAAACAATCAATACAAAAAAAAGTATTAGAATTACACAATGTATTCCTGAAATTATGAATGGTAGGTAAATACAGATTAAACAGATTTTGCTCTGCATTTGCAAGTACTTGGGAAGGAATTCTGAAGGTGAGTAAGCATTTTGGGGACAGTAAAGTGAATTTTGTAAAGAATTGGGAAGTAGGTTGTGTGGACAGAATGAAAGTAGGTGGTCAGACTTCATATACGTAAGTGTACTGGTTTAGTTGCAGGAGTATTTTATTTACTAATTATAGGCAGGAACAAGTTTAAGGTTCATGGTATTTTATCATGAAAGACCACAATCATGTTGCTGTTAACCTCACTGAAGGCAAAAGAGCAACATTAGAAATTAAGGAGTTTGTTTTTCTTTATCTTACTTTTTTTTAAACTCCTGTATTTTCAGATCCTTTTTGTAAATTTTAGGGATTTAAGAATAAAATTCCATAACCATGATCAACTTTCTTCTGTCTAATTTTATTTTGCCTGCTTTTATTTTTTCAAAAAAAGGGGGGATACAAAATTACAGAAAGTTTATAAAATTGAAAAAATGCATGTATATACATACAGAATGTACTGAATTGTACACTAAAACAACCACTACCCCTACCTACTATTCTCATTCAAATCTATAAATTGCCTTTTATTCACTCATTGTAAATATTTCCCATGATATTATAGCCTTCACAATGATCTTTTATCATAGCTGTACAAATTTCATCCAGCAAATGGATGATAATTTATTTTACCATTCTCTCATTAGGCATTTAGGTAGCATCTAGACTTTTACTATTACCATAATGCTGTAATGATCATCTCTCAGCAATTAGCTTATTTCCTTTGTTCTTTCCCTGTGACAGATACCAACTATGGGATTATGCCTTAAAGGATATGAAGGCTTTTAAGGCTTGGAAAAAATCAGGATCATACCAATTTACACTGTCAGCAGCGATGTAGAGTACTGTATCACTGCATCCTTACTTGCATGAGTTTTATCATTTACATTTTTCCTATTAATACATATGTTGAAAAATGTGCTTGTTTCAATTTGCATCTGATTATCAGTCAAGTTCAATATTTCTAAATTTTAATTATGAAAGATGACTACTTCAGCAAGAAACCATGTTGAGCATAAGTCAATGGTTCAAGGCCATAAAAATAAACAAAAATCTTAAAGAAAGTTAATATAATTGTGACATGAGTAAGTGTTACTGTGCTCCATGGTTATTAGGCATTAATGGCAAGCAGTTCACATAGCCATAATTATTATTTATACATGGCCAGATTAAGCATTCTTAGATTATGGGGGAGGTTCAGACCAAGCAGAGCTATAAGCTCTTCTTATGCCCCCATTAAGACCCCTTTATGTGAAAGCAGATGTGATCCAGCAGAAGGTGAGTCTCTTTCTTCCTTGGCACCACGCAGCCTCTGAAAACTGAGCACCCAGTGAAGATAACAGGCGTTATACATGCAGCTGGGCTGAGGGTGGGCTAGGACTTACTTTTAATGAGAAGCAAAGATGAAGCCAAGTAAGATACAACTCAAAGAGCTGACCTAAGAAATGGCCACTAAATCTCTTGTCTCTTCTCTCTATGATTATTCCTTAAGTATCTAGGTTTTCAGTGAGGTTTCTGAAGAACTTTTAACTCAGAATTATTTCCATCTCCTTTCTCACAGAGAAAAAGAAAGGACTAGAAACACAATCATTCCCACTTTCCCCTCAACCTCACTAACTAATGGAGGAATGATTTGGGTAACAGGATTTCAGGGACCTCCCTACCAAGGCTCTTTCTCCTCAACAGTTTCTTAATTTCCTTGCAAATAGAATTTTTTAATGTTTCTAAGCACATAATTCTGAGAAAGTGCAAGAAGAAAGGTGAGAGTGTGAAAAGGTAGGAAGGGGTAACAGTAATTTACCCTATAGTGAAGATTAACTTAACCACTGTTTCTGCATTCTTAGAACACTTAACTCTGAAGCATTCAGAGGGTAGGAGTAAGAGTTCTAAAATGGAGAGGATGTGGGGAGAAACAAAAGGAGTTATTTTGGGTTGCTTTAAAAAAGCATAGCTGAGGATACTAGACTACGCATGGATAGGGGAAAAGGAGGCCAAGCTTATGATAATAAATATTCATGTTTCTATGGACCTTGCGAATTTAGAAAGCACATTTTCATTGATCATATTACTTAATTCTCACAACAGCCCTGTACTGAAACTGAGACCCAGAGATATTAAGTAACTTACCCAAAGTCACATAGGTAGTTTCTGGCAGAGCCAGGTCTCGACCCAGGTCTTCTGATTCCTCCTGTGCATTTCCAGCTCCCCTGGAGCTGAAGCAGGGGCAAAAAGGGATGCGGAAGTAATTGCCAAGACCAGCCTTGCCCTTTCCCCTTCTTTCAGAGGTCAAGCAGAGCAGACATTTAACTGTCTGAGTGACCCCTTTGCATCAAATTCTTTCATAGGAAAGAACACAGAATCTGAAAATGTTTCTCAGCCTTGGGCTCAGGAATGGCAATGAGTGGTAAATAATGTCAGGAGTATTTTTGGCTGTATTCTGCCACTGATGTGAAATTTACTGGAAGCTCAAAGCAAGGTAATTCTCATTTTAGAAAGTAAAACTTGTTTTTATAATTGAAATTAGTTTAAAAGATTTTGTTCAGCAGTTTCAGTCAAACCTTTTAAATTATGCCATTATAAAAATTATTTTGAAAAATGCCTAAGAACCAAAATATCAAATTTACATTTAACCTATTCTGTGGCCATTTTTTTCTACCTTAATCATCTTCTCTCAGTGATTATTCTCATTAAAGCAGTTATGATTATTAGAATGGACAGAATATTCATTCTTTTCATAGCTAACTTTAAGTACTTTCAAGAAATTAATAGGAAAATGTATGTATCATATTCTTGAGATGTAAATCTTATATTCATTTCTAAATTATACCTAAATGTTTTTAATGCAGACTTTTGTAATTAATTCTCTATAACTCTATAACAAGATATAGAGTTCCAGAGTCTAGTTTCTTGAATAGTTGCTTAATTTTTCTTAGGGAATTATGTATTTTAATTTCTTATCTTGACTATTTACATTTCTATTAAAATCTAAACATATTTAATGAGAAACATTTCTTTTTTTTGCTTATTTCCTAACAATATGAGGATACAATTTAAATAGACTGGCCATATGACCGACTTTGCATCATTTCTATATTCTTTGGTAATCAGCTCCAATACATCTCAGTCTCTAACCTTTCCATTTATGACAACTACTACCAGGAAGGCCAGGTGCTAAATAAGCATTAATACTAATCAGGGCATACAAAAGATCAACCGGGGATATCAATTTATTTGTGCCCAAAGCTTTTAGAAGGTCTTCTGAACTTTAAAAGATGCTCATTTAACCAGACTTCATTTGAGCACCAGTCATGTCTAATGGATGGAATGTATCCAACCTAATAGTTAAGAGCCACTTGAAATCTTTGAGATGAATAAAACAGCAAACACTCAGATGTAAAACAAAATAAAATAAACAAGGAAGAAGACAAGGAGGAGGAACTTGGATAAGGAGGGAAAGGAAAGGAGAGAAAGGAAACAAAAAGGAAGAAGGGGAAAAAAAGGTTTACCTTGAATAAATAAAAAATTTTAAGTAAGTACTAATACTCTCAAGCTTTTGATATCTACATCTCCCTTTTTCTTTAAGGCTCCAATTGTGTATTTTAAAAATCTAGTTAAGCTTAACATTCTTCTGGGTCCTAATGGTCAAATTCAGGAATTCCTAATATGATTTATATTATCTGATCACTACATGAGAAAAAAATATATTAGTGTACTTTTCTCCACATTATTTTAAGCCTTATTTGCTATGTCTTTTCAAGATAAAATGCTCATTATATTCTTTTAAACCATTCACTGAATAGTACCCAAAATGGTTAACAACATAAAAAAAACCCCACCCCAAGTCCATAAATGTTAGACTTTGAACTGTACAGAAATAGAATTAACTTCTAGTGTCTTGCCCTTGTATAATAAACTCTTCGTTAAGCATAACCAAGAAGGTTAATCATAATTTCCTAATCTCATGATATGGTAAAAATTGAGCAAACTTCAGGCAAGATAAAAAACCTAATAAAAGGTTGTTGAAGTTAGTACTAGTTTTGAAAAGTCAACGTTAGAGTTCCCCATCTACTTGCTTTACACTAGATGATTCATTTAACACGGATAACAAAATTGTAATCAGGAACCATGTGAACAATGATTCCAAGACTGGAGTCACCCCAATCTGACGGAGGCCTTCTCAATATTTATTAAGTTACTTCTGGAAGGAAGGAAATGTATCTTCTACTTCTTTTATATCTTTCTATTCCCTTGGGCATATAGACCAATCTATTTTCCAAAGGAAGTTTTTTACAAAAAGTACTCAAAGAGTATTTGCTGAATAACTATCATATTAAACTGTTGTGCTCAGGCTTTTGATGTCTGATGAAAGAGTCTTCAGTAATAAAGGTGGCAACCAGGACTAGACCCATCATTCAACAAATAAGTAATGACCTTCTTTCACTGTTTCAGCTGCCAAGTCAGTTCATGTGCTCATTTAAAATCTAATCCCCTTGAGTCTTTATAGTATGTATCTAGTGATTATTTATAGAGTTCCTTTGCACTTCCACTAGCTATTATCCACCCATAAATTCTGCCCTTGTTTATAATTATAAGTGCCTTGAAGGACATGTTTTTTAAAGTTAAGAATTTTTCCCTCCAGATCTCTCAAGTGAGCTGTGGAATTAGATCCAAGATTATCAGTTCATCTGAATGAACAACTATTAAAAGGATAAAAAGAACAGGAGACCGAGGACAGTTAAGTATGAGTTTGTTTCCTAGGAGGATTTTAACAGCTTTTAACTAATTAAAACAATCCTGTTCAAAGGCTTCTGAACACACTAGCCTATTAATAAAAGAGTAAAACAAATGCTGAAACAAAAAATATTTTTTGATCTTTTAGAAGTCCTCCTTTTTATTGAAGAATACCCACATTTGACACCTTCTTTTGATTTAGTAGTAGCCAACACGAGTTCAACAAAAACTGGATTTTGCCTCAAATTAGAATATTGGAGAATACAAATACAAAGCCCAAACAAATAATGAAAATTCCTTACTGCTGGTACATATACATATCAAGAATATCAGGTGGGTTACTAGGTGAGAAATACAGAAAACGACAGCAATATTATAACAGCTTCAACGAGAGTTTTCATAATGACAATTTCTAAAAGTTAATTTAAAACATAAAAGTGTCAAGAATTGGAGTTAAAATAAAATTAAAAGACTAGTGAGTTGTATGTAAGTACATGTAAAATAAGATCTTTATTTTATTTTTATGTAATGAAACACTCTTACTAATGATGTAAGTACTTAGAAGAGACATAAAACTTCAGGAATATATTTTGTCTTCTATTTACAGAAAGGTAAAGAATCTTGGAACATATCTGAGTAGAAACCGCCGTTTATACATTTAAGTCTTTATTTGTAATATAAAAAATATAGTATGTTATTAATAAGAAGTTTGGGATATCTAAAATAATATATTCAAAGGCAAATATTTACACTATTTTACATATGGGAAATTTGAAAACTGGAAAGAAAATAGCTAAGATGTTTTCCAAAGTACTTCTTGAGACTTTCTATAGCAAGTTCTCCACATGGAAAAAAAAAGAAGAGGAGTTCCATGAGCAAATACGTCTGTGAAGCAATACACACTAATAATCCTTCTCTTGGAGAATTAAAATACAAGAAAGTCCTGTAATCAAAAAGTGTACTGCATTTTTTTAACCAGCATTTTACAAATTTACTTAAGCAAGAAGCAGAACTAATGTTCTCAGACCACACTTCAGAAAGCACTGAGCTAGAAGGACTAAGAAAATGTTCAAAAACATAAGGACTCTTGTATTCTTATGATGGTCTAAGTTGCTTAACTAGAACCTCTTCATTATGTTTACTCTTAATAAACTATATGGATTTGGGGTTTTTTTTAAAGGCAATAAAATGTACTCACTGTTGCAGTACTTCCTTTCCCTTCTGAATGGAGCTCTCAGTCAAAGACAGGCTGCTAAGGTAGTAATTTCAAGCCCAGGTGTAAAATTCTTGCCAGTTGTTCCCAAGTTTTAATGGAACCTGAACTCCTATAACACCAGAAGATTTCTCACAAGGGGACAGATCAGTTCCACTTTTTTTCTAGAGATGTGACAGTGAAGCCTATTGCACTTGATGCTAGAATAAACAGCATAGGTCCAAAAAAGTTCAGGAAATTAGGATCAGGAGGCGGGGTTGACCGTATCCATCAAGAGATACCACACAATAATGGTAAAATGAGAATGAAGTTAAAAAAAAAAAAGTCAAAAGAACACAATGATGTTTAGGAAAAAGAATGAAAAGACAGAGAAATAACTAATAAACAAGATGACAAAAGACAGAAAAATAGTATTAAATAAAGACACACAGATGACCACATTAGACTTAAACGAGAATGGACAGCTGATGATGCACTATGGTGCGCAATCAAGTATGTATCCCAAGTCTTTTGCCCAACGCTGTAAGGTTCACCATCACTGACTTCACAGGAGCAAAGTGCGCTGCAGAATGCCATCTTAAAGGGAATAAAGTCTATGGTACAACGAGCAATACTATTTTTCTGCCTTTTTATGTGCAAATGGAAGAGGCTCAGATATTCACTAGAAACTAAAGCAGAATTGGGTGCATACTTTTTAATTCAAGAGGGATGCTTCTCCAGATTTATGAAAATCTTTGAAATATCCCAACAGGAATGTCTAGTCAAAGGACATAACCAATATAAGATTAACATTTTTGGGAACAAAGAAATAAAACAAAACAAAAATATTCCTCAGATTCATTTATTTTACTACTTTATTTCCCGTGCAAGGAGTATATTAGCAAGTCTTTTGCAACAGAATGGTCAAATTCGGTGCAGTTTGAAATTACAGTTTTAGAAGTCCCAATAAGTAAAGTAAATGAAAAAACAAGATGCACACTTACAGAAAACAAACATTGGGTCTTCTGAATAAAAAACGTCAAGAGAAAAAATAAGTTCGCCTGACAATCACAGCCCCCTTCAGTTGTACACCTCACTCCTTAAGACTACTTTGAATGAAAAATCAGAATTATGTAATATTCAGCATGAACATAAAGAATCACGAATTTCCTTAATTAGCCAACACCCTAATTCAGGATTCTAAACTTTAGGTTGCTATGAATAAAGGGGAGACTCAGGAAGTAAAAGATTAATATAACATCTACTAGTATGATTCATATACACACAAAA